GCTAATCGTAGTGCGTTGGGACCAAACCGTGTTATAACCTGGTCAGGGCACTCCTGTGTTCTAATGAGATCCCCTGGCACAGCAGACCTGTATATGGGGGCCCCACATGTGTTGCCATCTTTCCATCCACAACCCTCCAATCCAGCATCACTGGCCCAAGACACAAACAAGGAACAGGTATGGTAGGACTTAACTGGGATTTGGTCCTGCTTCGAGCAGGGGGTTGGACTCGATGACCTTCTGGGGTCCCTTCCAACCCTGAGATTCTATGACTCTATGACTATTTGGGAGAGGGAGACTGGGGATTTTCTGTGCAAGGTCGGAGGTGGTGGAACACTCCCACCGAGAGTATCACACTGTGCTCTCCCCTGGCCATGTTCAGAGCCACGGGCTCATCCCACCAGAGTGCAATAGCCTCACCACACTAACTGGGGAGGAGACTTAAAGCAAAAGCCAAGAGACTGAACCCCAGGGGAGCCCAACCAGAGCCCATGTGGGCTTGTCGCTTATGCCTCTTATTTTGCTGTACTTCAGTCCTCAGATTCTGCAATGACTGGCTCTCTCTTACCACAAGAAAGAGAACCTGCACTGAAGCATAGAGGAGAAACACCCACTTGTTCCAGGGCTCAATTTAACTCCATGTAACACAGCCGGAGAGTCTGCTTCCAGGGGCTAGCTCTCCCCCTAATCCCACACTGCAGAAAGAAAAGCCTCCTCGAATCTCCCTCTACATGTGTCAGGCAGGGAGTGCTGATGAATGGACGGGCTGTTCTTTGCATTATCACAGCACCTAGAGGCTGCAGCCATGATCAGGCCCCATTGCGCCAGGCACTGTACAAAGTGAGGGCCAGCCCTGGCCCCAAGGAGCTATCAGAATAAAGGAGCACGTCCTGCCTTTGCTCCCAGAGACCCTCTCCTGCAGATCCCAGAGTACAGGCAAAGAAGCAAACGAAAGGCAACCACGTTGGGCTTTCACTGCACCGGCGAACTACAGCCAAACCTCCTGGAGAAGGAATAAACTGTACGTCAGGGAGAGAATATTTATTATGAAGCTTCGGGAAGGATTCTAAGAACGGGAGAGGGAAAGAGCAGGGGAGGCTATAAAGAGCAGTGTCCCTGTAAGGGCGGCGCAAACAGATCACACAGTGCCCGCCGTTACGCTCATGAATTACAATGCTGCACTGGGGATCTTTGAGCAAACTGAACGACTTGTTGGCTCCCCGGCGGTTCTGCCTGCCACACACGCAGGCACTGCCTGCTGGCACGGCGGCTAGTGTGTCAGCATGCCTGCTTGGTGCCGGCCCCCACTCCTTAGGAGTCCCATCACGGAGCCTTTGGGCTAATACAGGAATCCTTGATCGACGGGGAGTAACGAAACCACCTCCCGGAGGAGCCAGGCCTGGCCCAGCGCCAGATGGAGGAGCGAAGGAGAGTTGGAGCAATCGGAGGAGGAGGGACGCAAGGGAAGCGTTCAGGAGGAGACCCTGAATCACGAGTGTGTAGAACAAGGCCGCAGCGAAATAGGAGGCAAGGGAGTTTCGCCTCCCCCCATCCCCAACTGGCAATGGATGGAGAAAGCTTACATCAGAGCGTCACAGTCTAACTGGAGTCCCTGAAGAGGGGAGGGGAGGGCACCACTGGTTCAGTGTCAATACCAAGGGAAAGCATCCTCATACAATTCATCTTGGCCCCTTGCAGAGCACATTTTTCCCCAGTAGGGTCTGCTCCCTTCCCCTCCCCACTCTAGGAAAGATCAGTGGCCCCGCACACACGGCACCCCAGTTTGGACAGATCCCAGGGCAAGAGAATCGGCATCATTCTCCAGCATCCCTCCAGTCCCTACCCCAAGAAGCCCAGGCCGGAAGGCCACCCAGCTGGTGCCAACATTCTCGCTGCTTTCACAGTGCCTTAGACGCCAGCGGCGGGAGAGTCCCATGCCAAGGGAAGCTCGCCCCCTACTGGTCAACAAGAGAGCAGCACGTTCCATGCGGGGCACGGGCCCAGACACGAGGGTATGTGCGCACTTTCACATCCACTCTGTCACATGGAAGGCTGAGGTCTGGTTCAGTCTCGTCTGTGTAGATGGAACCATGTTACAGATTTCTATTACAGCCCTGATCTTTCCTGATACTGTAAAACACTTTGGTCCCCAAAGAACTAAACCGTTTTATACATACATCAAGCTGGTTAGGTGCTATTGTGAGCTAATGAGATCCCCAAGCACAGCAGCCTTGACCGTGAAGAGGGACCCATTATATACTGATTGTCTACATGGGCTGCAGCTATGGCTGACTGTAACCTATTCTCCACCCCCAATCCCCAGAGCTCAGAGCAGGAAAGCCAAAAAAAAAAAAAAAGCAGCCAGACAGCGCAGGAGGGTTTGGAGCAAGAAAGAAAACAGACAGTACCCATGCCTATTCCAGCACTTTCCCTGCAGCAGCTCCTCCAGCCTGCCATAAGAGGGACCCTGGCTTCAGCCACATCTCCTTACTCGCTTGGTGACACTCCAACAAGGTGGGTGCTCATAAAAACCAGCAGATTATGCACAGATTATGGAAGGTCAGCTTCCAGATATCCTGTCTGGGTCCCCCACCAGTTGGTCATGGCTTCCCTCGTTACAGACTGGGCTGCCTCCTCCCCCAGCTCCAGCCCTTGCTGGGGTGCAGGGGATTAGCCTCTGGAGGAGATCAAGGATCTCTTCGGGTCTGAGATGCAGGAGCGCTGGATTCTATTGGCCTAGACAAGTCATGTTCCCACTTTGTGCCTCAGTTTCCCTATCTGTAAAGTGCAGATAATGACACTGTCCTACTTTGTGATCTACTGATTAAAAGTGCTATAGAAGAGCTAGGGATTATTGTTACAGCAAAAAGATCCTACCAGAATATCTCCATATTCTCCTGTTGGGGGCCATTACTGCAGAGTACTGCAGTAAAACCAAGAGTTAGAGTTGTTCTTCGGGGTTGTGAATCCTGCCCCGCAAACATGATGAGGAGCTGCAGCTAATTCAGAGCCCCAGACATATTTGGGGCCAAGTACAGGCCCTTTTCTTTGCCACCTCATAGCCCTATCATAGGTTGGGGGCCCCAAACACACAGTGCCCCCATCAGAGGGACCCGCTGCCATAGTACACCCTGAATTGCCCAGTCACAGCATCCTGGCAGATGCACGGGCTGTTGGCAACCAGAAGCAACACAGGGAAAAAGCCAAGCGAGATCCCCAGGTACCGTGGGTGGGCAGGCAGTGGTGCCATTCGGCAGCAGGGGAAGTCAGGACTCTCCAGTGCCCATCCTGTCCGAGGAACCCTGACGCAGTACGGGGGTGCTGACCCACCCGCACATACCAGGGTTTGGGATCAATCACTGGTCCTGTGGAGGAGGAGGCAGAAAGCATCATGCGTCACATAGGGCATAACTGCGGCCTCCTGCACGGAGAAATGGCCCCCTTCTCCATTCCTTAACCACCCCCCACAGCAACAGGCAGATTACCGAGCAGGATGGAGGTCAATACCCCAGAAAAAACTGCTGGCTGCAGGGAATTTGCTGGTCACTGAGGAAAAACAAACTAGACTTACATGGCACTTCACGTTTCCAAGCACTGCACAAACATTGACTAGCTAAGGAGAGAGAAGGATCAGGGAAGGAGAAAAACTGCCCCCAAAAGTGAAAGATACCCAGACTCTGAATCAACCTGGACTCCTGCAGCCAGCCAACCCATCCCACCGCCTCCTGTTCAGGAGTCAATAAATAAGAACTCTCCACCACTATTTTCTTGCATAAAGCCATATCCCCACCCTCTCCTCTAGACAGACACCTGACCAAGGGCTCAAGCCAGTCTCTGATGAGGTCTGCGCCTGGGGATTTCCCCCGACTTGCAGGATTTTGCCCCAAGTCATTATGCCACTGCAGTGCTGCTGAAAGTAGCTATATCAATTTAAGAATCTTTGCTTGGGCTAGAAGTAGGAAAACCCATTCGACTTTAGCTTGGAAAGTAACTTGGCCATCAGCCCAGCAGACGGAACAGTGCCTTTGGAATGGTGTCGAAAAAAAAAAACAGCATTTACCTGTTAATAATTCTATCTTATGTCCCAGAACCTTCATTGTGATTCGTATTCTCCCAACAGGTGAAAATGGCAAGGGGGGGGGGGGAGGGAAGCTCTTGGAGACAATCAGTAAGGAAAATCCACTAGCGAGGGATGATCAGAGTCCTCTGAGCCCAAAGCAGCTTGGATCAGGAATGAGACAGGGCGCCTGGATGGAGTGGGAAGTGCAACATGGAGCATATGTGTGTGTGTGTGAGAGAGTGAGTGAGAGAGAGAAGGCGAGAGACTGGCTGTTCAATGCAGATAGGTAGGAGCTTCACCCATTTCACAAAAAAAGACAAAAAAAACCCCACCCCTCACTTACGCTGCAAAAATGCCAGGCACTAAAAAAGCCGATAGCCTGGCACCGCACGGCTGGGGTTTTCCAGGCACAGATGGACCGCCAACCCAGGCTGTGGGCTCGGAGACAAAACCCCAGCCTCCCCCCCTCTTCTCGAACAAAAGAGCAAAGCTTTCTCTCGCTACACAACAGTTGTCATGTCTGCAACGCTGTGGGGGGGGGGGGGGGGGGGTTCTGCCGGCACGCATGCAGCAACAAGGGGCGCCGGGAAAGCAGGGCTGCTTCCCAGCTCCAAAGAGGGACGCCCACCCTCAAAGGCCAGGCTACCGAGGTGGTGAAATGCAGCCCGATTTTACCTTTGAGCGCTATACAAATAGGGCCCCGTTTTTAGGGCCGCCGCCGGGAAGCTCGTGCCTGGACCAACCAGCTGCAGAAGAGCCAAGAACCGATCCCCCCCCCGCTTGCGTTTCCACCTCCCTGGGTCCGATCTGGGCAGAAAGGCTTTACTGGGGGAGGGGGGCATTCTCGTGGGGGTGGGGGTGACTTCCAGGAGGTGGGGAATGGGCACGGGGGAAGGGGGGGGGAGAGACACGGGGGGGGGGCCGTGCCCCCAAGACTCACCAGATCAGTGCGATGCAGGGCGGGGGTCTCCGGCTGCCCTCTGCGCCTCTCTCTTTGCAGCCTCCCGGCGGTAAAGTCCCCACGCGCGGGCGGGTCGCGAGCCCCCCGCCCCACCCCGCAGGAGCCGCCGCCGCCGCCGCACCGCGTCGCCCCCAGGCTCCGTCCCGGGGAGGGCTGTAAATCCACCCACGTGCGGGGGCTCGTCTGGCTGGGGCGGCGGGAGGATGCGGCTGCCGGCGGCGCGGGGTTTGCAGCCAGGGGGAGGGAGCGGCTGGGCTGCCCCGCTTTAAAGGGGAGAGGAGGCACCGCTGCGGCGGGGAGGGCTCGGGGCGCGTCGCGCGCAGCGGCGGCGCAGGGAGCGGGCGCACCGGGCAGCCCCGCGCGCAGCGCGGCGCGGCGCGGGAGGGAGGGAGCGCTCAGCCCGGCTCCGGCTGCCCGCCCGGGGTGTGGGGACTGGGGCTGGCAGCTGGCACCGCAGGGGGGCCCCGCGAGGCCGGGGGCGTGGAGGGGAGAAGCCTGGCGGCGTCTAGACCCGCACCCGCACCTGCAGAAAGGGGCCTGGGGGTTACAGTGGAGGAGAAGCTGGGTACGGGTCAGCCCTGTGCCCTCCTTGCCCAGACGGCGAATGGCATCTTGGGCTGTAGTAATAGGAGCTTTGCCAGCAGATGGAGGGACGTGATTATTCCCCTCTGCTCTGCACTGGTGAGGCCGCACCTGGAGTACTGCGTCCAGTTTTGGGGGCCCCCCCGCTACAGAAGGGATGTGGAAAAATTGGAACGAGTCCAGCGGAGGGCAACAAAAACGATCAGGGGGCTGGGGCGCATGACTTATGAGGAGAGGCTGAGGGAACTGGGATTGTTTAGTCTGCGGAAGAGAAGAATGAGGGGGGATTTGATAGCAGCCTTCAACTACCTGAAAGGGGGTTCCAAAGAGGATGGATCTAGACTGTTCTCAGTGGTAGCAGATGACAGAACAAGGAGTAATGGTCTCAAGTTGCAGTGGGGGAGATTTAGGTTGGATATTAGGAAAAACAATTTCGCTAGGAGGGTGGTGAAGCACTGGAATGCGTTACCTAGGGAGGTGGTGGAATCTCCTTCCTCTAGAGGTTTTTAAGGTCAGGCTTGACAGAGCCCTGGCTGGAATGATTTATTTGGGGATTGGTCCTGCTTTGAGCAGGGGGTTGGACTAGATGACCTCCTGAGGTCTCTTCAAACCCTGATATTCTATGATTCTCACATCTGTTACCCCCCTAAAGATGATGGTGAGCCCAGGGCTAGGGTGCAGCCCCTCTGCTCAGTCCACATGTGCTGGAGCTGAACCTGCTGAGGTGCTAGCCAGGGCATGTGAACTGCAAAGCCTGAGCCTTGACTTTAACTAGGGGAGAGTGGCTAGTAGCTACACCTTGCTGCCCGTTCCTGCACCAGCCCCTATCATAGCCCTATACTGAATGCAGCCAAAGTTTTGTTTCTTAGCCTCAGTGGCAGGGCCTTGTGCTTTTGGAGCAGGGGGATCTATGTTCTGTCCTGACGGTAGCCCATTAGCAGCCCAGTAAACCCCATATTCCACTCCAAAACCCAGCACTCACTGGAACCAGTTGAACATTTTCAACAGGAATTTGTAGCAGGAATGAAAACGTTTCCGCTTTCCACATTACACACTAGTTGCCAAAGCCACCAACTGACACTGATTTATAAATGATTTTTAAGCATCTCATTTATTTCCCAGCCTATGTAAGTCACGGTTTTGACCTAAGGTCAGTTGCTTTTGCTTCCTTTGAGCAAGAAAGAAGTTCTAGGCCAAAAGCTAGCGGTATGTTAAGTGCCGTGTTTAGGCTGAGATTGTAAAGGGCAAATGCTGCCCTCTGAGTGTGGAGCGACCTGGACTGGTACAGTTACGCTGCACATGGAGGCAGGATTTAGGGATGCTGTGCAGGGGATCTGCAACTCGAGCATACCTCAAAGCTCCATGAAGGCTCTCTTTGTGGTATCAATATCTCCTGCTCACGCTGGAGCCAATGGGAGCTCAAGGTTCACATTACCTCTGAAGAAATCCATTTAACCACTCGCAGAGTAACAAAGGCATAATGACGCCAAGATGCAGGTGTTATGGAGCCCTTAACTTTTGAATGATCATGAATTTATCAATTTTAAGACCAGAAGGGACCTTTATGATCATCTAGTCCAGCGTTTCCCAAACGGTTTTGGCCACAGAACACTTTTTAGCCTATTACAGAACACGCATAATATTATTTTGCAGTCGTTTGGTTTTCAAATAAAAAATTGCGTTATTTAGGCTCAAATATATTTTATTGTATAAAACAAAGCAAAAACACAAATTTAAAATAACGTGAACTAACCATTTCTAACTGGGAAGCGCGCACAAAGTAGTGCAAAAATCAAGTGCAAGAGTCAAAATTAAATTCTAGATCCTTTCACGGAACACCTGTTCACATCATGTGGAACACCAGTGTTCCACGGAGCACAGCTTGGGAAACGCTGATCTAGTCTGACCTCCTGCACGACACAGGCCAGAAAACCTCACTCAGTAATTTCTGCATGAAGCCAATAACTTCTGTTGGAGCTATAGCATAATTTAGAAAGAGATCCAGATTTTACTGCAAGCGATGCGGGGGATTCCCTTGCTAAATTCTGGCTTACAACTGTGACATTAAAGTCTCAATCTTAACAGGTTTTTGCTTAAAACATATTTCCATATATTTAGGAGTTGCCATGTGACCTCAGATCATTTGGTTGTAGTGAGCTGGTGGTTCAGAAAATTACTAATGAACTAGTTCACTTTCCTTGCCCCAGATTCTGATCTCACTCACACTTGTGTAACTCTGCAGGAACTGCATTGACTCCACTAGAGTTACCCTGAATTTACCTGGGCATCAGAATCTGGCTTCTTGTCATAAAAATCCCAGGACTCAAAGATCTTTCAGGACAAAGGTTGATAGAGATGTATGGAGATAGAAGCCACAAGCTTCACCCTGTTCTCTCTTTAGCTGACCAACAAGGTTGCTCTAATACCAATGTATTGTGCAATGTCTTAAAATGACAAACACACATCCCTACAATGGGGAAACCTGTAGGCTGCTGAGTATATTCATTCAAGGAGGGTTCATAACTTCTGATAACTCCCATTATTCTCACCACCCGAGTGAAATAAGTGGCTGATGAGACACAAACTATTGATATAAACATTTAATTTCATCGTCGGTGCATCATCACTCATCTATTATCATACTTTGTGTGTCACCTGGCAGCCCTTTTTAATTTTAATTCGGCCTTTCTGCCGTATGAACAGAACATCTAATAGCTAAGTATCAGGTATAGCATTAATCTTCACTTACCAGTGAGAACTCCTGAGAGAACATGAAAACACAGAGTGATTTTTAATCCCCACAACTTACTACCAGACAGGTCACCAGCAATCACATGGCCTTAAAGTCTGCACTCTATGGTCAGTCATCTCACCATGGCTGGGAAAATTATGGGTCTGAATTTCATGGTGCTTCCCTAAGTCACGGGGGAAAGATGAGCAAGGAGAGAAAATACAGAACTCAAAGGTTTATGTGTATTTCTGCTATGGGAATAAAATGGACCAGATTTCAGTCTCATTTACACCAACGTAAACCTGGACTAACTCAACTGACTTCCAGGGACTTATACCACTGTAAATAAGATCAGCATCTGGCCATCATCTCTGCACCAAGTCGAGCTTTATTGAATAATGGAATAAAGGATTTTAGATGGATACCCATTAAGAAGAACAGCCTGTGTGCCAGAAATAAATTGCAATATTAATTAGACCTCCAAAAGCACAGGCTTTCTGTACAGAAAGCCAGAGAATGTAGAACAACACAGTTTGACAGATACTTCAGAAACAGAGCTTGTGAAAAGAATACATCTGTTGGTAGGACAAATGTGTTGTGCATGGAAGTTGTGTGTTTGAAGAGAGAGAAGATGGGGTTCTGCAGTATGGATTTTTCCACATTGCTTTTCAATTCAGGTCAACATAGCATTTTCCACATTGCTTTTCATTGTGCTTTTAGTTCAGCCAACCAAAGCTAAGAGGGTTGAATATTGGTTGGGCTCTAGAAGGAAGATCAGGAAGGCCAAGGTTCTAAAACGTGGATGCCAAGAAGACCTAGGCTCGAGGAGACAGATGAAGCCTGTTCCTGGTCTTGCAGGATTGGTTTCTAGATGCCCAAGAAGTTTGAGTTCCAAAAGACAATGCTCCAGCTCCCATCGAAAAGCCTTGGCTTGATTTGTCCAAGTCAGTTCCTAGGAAGTTTGAGTTCTAGAAGTTAAGACCACCCAGAAGCTTTTCATTACAGGATTAGGACCTCCCAGAAGGCCCACCCACCAGAAATTAATGCCTGCTACTGATGGCTCGAGTTTTAGAAGTTTGACCCCATCTCAAGAAGTTTTGAGTTCCAGAAAGCTTGAGTCCCAGAGTCCCTGGGAAAGGTTTTAAGTTCTAGTATTTATACCCACAGGGGCTTGGGTTCTACACACCTTGAAGGGCTGATGTCTAGTGACTGATCCCTAGAAGCAGTAACCGTTTTGTGCTATGGGCTAAGCCACTGTACACTAAGCAACTCTAGTATCCAGGAAGCTGAAATAAATGGCAATTTTAAGACCAGACTGAGTGCATCTTAAGAGAAAGGACTTAAATGAAGCTGTGGAAACAAAGTAGAGTGGTGTTGTGGATGTGAAAATGGGGTGGGTGTCTTGAGCCAATCTTGGGAGCAACGTTCACATGTTCCACGACAGCAGTCACCAGGGCTCCAGGCTAAAGGATGTGCTTGACTGCAAGGCACTGAGGAGATGGTGGCCTCTTAGGGTCAGAATTAAACCTGTTGGGCTCCTTGGAACCTTCTCTGATTTGACCTGGACCTCAGTGGGCATAGGCACCAGGGGCCCTATTCTGATCTCATTTACAGCAGGGTAAATCTGGATTTACCCTGGTGTAGCTGAGAGCAGAATCTGGAGCAAAGACACCCACAGGCCAAAACATTGATTAAATCCTGTTCCCACTGAAGTCAATGGGGATTTTGATTGACTTTAATGGGACCAGAGCTTGGCCCAGGGAAACAAAAACAAAAAGAGGGTTGCCTAGAAAAT